GGCCCTGCCCCTCCGTGGTGGGCCCCGCTCGCCGGCTCCCGCAGCAGCTCGCGTCGCTAGCTCGGCCCGGCTGCTTAGCTCCCGCCTCAGGGCGTCCGGCTCCTCGCGAGCAACTTTGCGACAGGCCCTGAGGTTCGAAGGCGTCGCGGAGTCGCGTGCGGCCCACTTGCGGGCGGGTGAGTACTTCGGGGGGGGGGACGGCCGCGCGGGGGACTGGAAAGAGACCCGGGAGGCGCCGCCCGCCTTGGGCCTCAGTTTCTCCATCTGCGCGGCTGCTCCCAGCGCCCCCCCAACAAGTTCCCCAGAAAGTGGGGGGCTGGGGTCCCGCAGCGCGACGCCCACGGCGACTCCCGCCCAGGCCTGGGTTGAGACTTCCTGGGGGGGAGTGCGCGCCCCCTCGGGAGTCGCGGGACCCCGCGCGCTGCGAGCACCGAGAGGCCAGCAGCCGTGGCCCCCGGGGACCCGCGGGTGGCCAGAGGGTGGCCGGAGGCGCCCCTCCCCGCACCCCGCAGCGCCGGTCCCGAGGTGCCCAGTCATGGCCCTTCCCCCGCGGCCGTCGGCGGGACCCAGGGCGGCCCTCAGTGCCCACGGGGACGCGGTTGGGGCGGCGGGGGCGACCGGGGTCCAGCCCGCACTGGGGACCGGGCCCACCGGAGGGGGCAGCCCCTGGGTCAGGCTGAACCCCCCAGAGCCCACTTAGAATCAGTGCGGCGCTCACTCTCCCCCTGGGGCTCCTCCTCGGTAAGGGGGGCAGGCAGGGGCAGTGGCAGTCCCTCCCGGCCCCTGCTGGGGTGAAGCCGGCCTTTGGCCGCCGGCCCTCCGCACCATTAATTTCTGTTGTGACAGATGGAAACTTTCTGAGGAATCTCGCCCAGCCCTTAGGGATGTGATGAAACCATGCTCTCCCAACGGTTTTTGTAGTTGATGTTAAGAAATTCTAAGGAGCTAACGTTTGTACAATATTTACACTCCCCTCCCCCACCCGGCTTATAGGAGTGGGAATTATAGCCCCAGTGGACACATGATGGAGCTGAGGCTTACTGGGGATTGGTGACCTGCCCAGGACCACAAAGAGCCTGGGGGAAGACTTGCACCCTGATCTGCACTCTCCTCAAGCAAGCCCAGTCCTGCCTCTCCTCACCTTGGACAGTGACCCCTGGCATTTGGCCTGTTTATAAAGGGCTTTCCCTTCTGCTGGGATCTGTCACTTGCAGAGTGCCCTGGGTACCCTCCGTGCTGGTCGCCTGTTCTCACTGCAGCCCTAGTGAGGGAGCCATATCAACGGAAACCCAGAGGCCACGCTTTCCATGGTCCCATCCTGGCCCCTGTGTCTCTAAGGGGCTGTGATTCTCCTGGGAGCCCCATGGTGTCTGACCAGAGATTTAGAGGAAGGTTCCCTTATATAACCACTCCTTTGCTGCACCCCCTGCACCCCCCAACCCCCAAGCAGATGGACCTTTGAAAACAGGGAAGGTTGCTGGGAGACCACATCACACCTTCTTTGCCAGGATGGAAGAATATGTGGAGGGCTCCCTGCTCACGCCTCCCCAGCCCCTCCTATGCCAGGGCTGGACAGGCCTTGGGGGCTGGTCAAAGAGGAGACCCAGCTCAGTCCCGGCCCCCAGAAGTGCCTGAGCTCTGGGACAGAGATCAAGCCCTGGTCTATGATGGTGATAAGAAGAATCATAACAGGGAGGGAGCTTTATGCTTTATATGGCTCTCGCCCTCTCCCACGTCCCCACCCCAGAAAGTGGCACCACTGCTGTGGCCCCCAGCCACAAACCAAGCCACCCTCTGCTCCCCACCCCTCACATTCAGTTGGTGATACTCCTGTCTCTTCTGGCCCCAGAGCTGCTGTCAGATGCTGGCCCTGGACCAGGCCTCCTTACCTTTCCCTGGATGGTCACCCAGCCCCTTTCCTGGGCTCTCCATCCTGTCCCCACACAGCCCCAATGGTTCTTTAACTATCACTTCCCTGCTCAGCACTGTCCTTCCGAACTCCTCCTGGCCCTAGGCTCAGCTCTGCCTCCAAAGCTTGGAGTCCTTCAGGCCCTTGGGACCTGCCCTAGCTGCCCACACAGCCTCTTCTCTCATTCCTGTGTCCCATCCCCAGCGGTCACTTCCCAACCATCCACACCTTCCTGGCCACATGGCTGGTCACTCTCCCTCTGCTGTCTTTTCTCCTGGGCAGTCCCCTGTTGGAATGCCCACACTCCTCCATTCCTCTTTCCTTCCACCCTCACCTGGCTCACACCTGCTTGTCTTAAAGGCTGAGCCAAGGGCTCTCTTCCACAATCCCTACCCTGCCTTCCAAAGCTGAGTGAGACCCCCCGTTGGATGCTTGCACCCCAAATGCTGCTCCATCTTTGTAGTTGTCTGTTTAGGTGTCATCCTTCCCACTGGGCATGAGCTGCTCGAAGGCCAGCCCTATGGGAGTGCTGTCTGGGGCCGGGAGGCCCAGCACAGTGCCCAGCGAAGGATCAGCCCCCAGTCCGTGTCTGCTGACCCGCCGGGGCTGGGCTCAGAGCAGGTGCCTGGTGTGCTGTGTGGGCTCGGCATTGGGCACACACTCGTGGCTGTCCTTGATCAAGGGTTTGGGCATTCCCAACTTGCCTCCCACTTTGTTTCTATGGACTTGGCACATTGAGTGGAATCGGAATGTTCCTTGGTTTGGCCCTTAATACTCTGGAGCAAAAATAAGTATCTGGGAGCCTCCAAGGGCTTTGTGCCCTTGTCTTGAGGAGTAGCCCTTTGCCTTGGGCCATGCTGGAGCAGCCTTCTCAGACCCTGGGAACCCCTGGGCCCTTTCCCTTAGGGCTCAGTCACAGGCAGGTTTTAAAATAGGTTTTGTTTTCATTTCAAACACCTTACACATTTTTTATAGAAAATCAGGGAAATACATTTAGAAAAAGAATAAAATAAAACCACTCATAATCCCTCCACCCAGAGAGAGCCAGTATTAACAGTTCGGGGGACATTTTCTTTCATCTTTTTCTGCAGGTAGATTTCGTTTTCATTCTAAAGAGACAGGATAATTCTCATGCTGCTTTAAATCCTGTTTAACAGTGTTACACCAACATTTTCCTCGACTTTAAACATTTATTTGTATACGGGGTCATGGTTAACATCTTTGTAGGGGAGCACCATGCTGAGGGGCTGTAATGTTCCTAACTGCCATCTCTGCATGGTGCTGGCAAGTTTGCTGGTGTCAGACCCCCTTGTGTGTGACACCTGTGGGCACCCCTGCTTATTCCCCGGGGCTGGGATGGTAGTGTGGCGGCTCTGGTCAGAGGGCACTTGAACAACTTTAAGGCTTCCCGTGGGGGCTTGTTTCAGGGGTGGGGCTGCCCCCCCGGGGGACCAGAGTGGGGGCCAGCCTGCACACAGATTAGAGCGTTTGGGGCAGAAGGCCACATGGGGTCATTCTGCTCCATGTCTCCATAGATGCATGGTCCCTGCAGCCCTCCTTGGGGGTGGCAGCTCCTCAGCCAAGCTCCTTGGTGCTGGTATTTTGTGTTTTGATGGGATAAAAATATGCCTTGGGACTCACGTGGAAAGAATGCCAGCCATTTTGTTTTTTTGGATCTTACACAATGACAGGTTTCCAGGCTACCACCCTGGCCATCAGGGGGCAGTGGGGTTGGCCGCCCCACCAGCAGGCAGGTTGGAGGAGTCTTGGAGCTGGGGCCAAGCTGGATGAAGACGCTCCTGTTTTGCCATCAGGATGCTGGGGTCTGGGGGGAGGGAATTGCTTAAAGTCACACAGCAAGGTCCTATAAGCTTGTTGCTTCCCTGAGGGCAGGCTGTCCCGGTGTGCCTTGCACATTAGGCCGCCGCTGCGTGCCAGGCAAGGCTGCAGGTGCTCCAGGGGAATGAGATGCAGGCTCCCAGAACCCCAGGAAAGAGAACGTGTTACAGCTGGAAAGGCCAGACCCTGTGTGGGTCCTTCCACCAGGAGATGGTCTGGGATCCTCCCTGTGACCCAACCCTGGCAGTGAATTGTCTCATTTGCTTTAAAATAATAAGCCCTGGGCGCCTGGGTGGCTCAGTTGGTTAAGCGACTGCCCTCGGCTCAGGTCATGATCCTGGAGTCCCTGGATCAAGTCCCACATCGGACTCCCTGCTCAGCAGGAAGCCTGCTTCTCGCTCTCCCACTCTGCCTGCTGTGTTCCTGCTCTCGCTATCTCTCTCTCTGCCGAATAAATAAATAAAATCTTTAAAAAAAAAAAATAATAATAAGCCCTTTGCTCCCCAAAGGGCTTGACCAACTCTTAGAGAATCCGAAAATTAATTTTCTTTTATTCATCCATTCTTACTAAGCAGAGATTTTATTTGAAACAGTTATTTTGACTGCCGTGCGACATGCGTAATACTTAGCCCAGAGGCCAGCCACAACCTGTGGTTGGGTCCCTGCAGTTCCTACCAGAATGTGTTTTCCAACGGAATACGTCCTTGTGGAGCACCTGGGAGAACTAGCTTGGGTTTATTTGGTTGGTTGGTTGGTTGGTTGGTTGGTTGATTGTTCGTTTTAATGTTTCATAGTTTGTAGATTACTTTCTCTTCCTTCACACCCTTAATCCCCATGGCACCCCTACATGGGAGGTGGTATTCCCATTTTACAGATGAGGAAACTGAGACACAGTGAGATTAAGTAGCTGCAGGTCCCGGGTAAAACTGAGACTCACTCCCCATGTCTCGTGGTAGTAAAATTGTGTCCCTCCTGGCCTGGGGTCTCCTGGTAGAGGGAGATACTACCTGAGACACGACTCAGCAGAGGCATTGGGGACACTCCCGGGAACGAGGCACATTGGGTCCCGCACTGGAGGAAGAGGGCTCTCTCTCTGCCAGAGCACAGGGCAGGTGTGGCCGGGGTCGGATTGTGAGAGGCCCCTTTTTCAGAAACAGGCTTGGTGGATTTGAATTCCAGCTCCAACACCGTGAGCTGTGTGGTCTCGAGCACGGGTCCTACCTTTCTGGACCCGTGTTTCCTCATCTGTGAAATGGGGTGAGGGTTGAAGGCTAAGCCACCTGTCCGTCTGTCACACCGGCTAGTGGCAGGACCTGGCTTACAGCGCTTTGTGCGGCACCCCGAGACTGTGCACGGCAAGCGTGGAGAGCAGAGCGCGCCCAGACACACGTCCGTTCCTGCTGCTATTCCCGACGCAAGTTGGCTCTCGTCAAGGCCAGCTGCGCTCTGCTGTTCCAAGGAGGTGGCCCTTGATTCTGGGGGCAGCAGGCCACGAGAGGTGGCTTGGCAGGATGCGGCCCCATGTGGTCTAAAGAACTGACGTGTTTGCTGTCTTGGGTCAGGGGATGACCTGTGTGACTGGGTTCCGTGTGCCGCGTCACCGTGGGTCTCCCCCGCCCGTGGCTGGCTACGTGCTCACTCTGGTCTACACTTGTGGCTAAATGGCGAGTTTCACAGAAGTCGCCTCCTTGTTGGGCTCCCTGAAGCCTACAGTTTGGAAACAGCATGAAGCAGTGCGTTGATTTCCAAGCAGATTTATGTGGCTCGGCCGTGCTCTGGTCTTGCCTCTGGGGGATGTTTTAAAATAAGGACTGAGTCCTTCAGACAGAGGAATGACCAGATTGAAATCTGTGGGGAGCCACCTCATGTTCTATGTGGGATCTCATTCAACCTCACAGTAGCCCCTGAAGACCATGCCCATTTTATAGATGAGGAAACTGAGGGAAGAAATTCACTCAAGGCGGGCGCCTGGGTGGCTCAGTTGGTTAAGCGACTGCCTTCGGCTCAGGTCATGATCCTGGAGTCCCTGGATCGAGTCCCACATCGGGCTCCCTGCTCGGCAGGGAGTCTGCTTCTCCCTCTCCCACTCCCCGTTTGTGTTCCCTCTCTCGCTGTGTCTTTCTCTGTCAAATAAATAAATAAAATCTTTAAAAAAAAAAAAAAAAAAAGAAATTCACTCAAGGCCTCTGGCTCAAGGGGTCCCATAGCAGGCATGAGCTTGGGCCCTACGTCTTGAGGCCTGGAGTCCCTGCCTCACCGGGCACAAGCCATCCGACCTCCAACCAACCAAATAAACCCAAGCTAGTTCTCCCAGGTGCTCCACAAGGACGTATTCCGTTGGAAAACACATTCTGGTAGGAACTGCAGGAAACCAACCACAGGTTGTGACTGGCCTCTGGGCTAAGTATTACGCATGTCGCACGGCAGTCAAAATAACTGTTTCAAGGGACGTGGCCTGCTCAGGACCGCAGAGCTGGGGGCAAGGAGTGCCTCCTTCCTGGGAGTGATGGACACAGATCCCGTCTTCAGGACCCACTGTGGCAGGGACAGGGCAGGCATGGTTGTGTAGCCCCCCGGGGAACAGGCTTGTGGCACCTGGGGCCGCCCCAACTCTTCCTGTGACATTTGTCTCCAGAAACATCCAGGGGGCCCCTACCCTGGCAGGCCTGGCGCTTGGCGCTGGGCGTTTGGGGATGCCTGGCCCCCGTGTGCAGCCTGTAGTCACATCTGGTCCCCAAGGGGCCCTCACTTGAGAGGATTGTCCCATTTACAGTGGAGGAAGCAGAGGGGCGTGGCCTGCTCAGGACCGCAAAGCTGGGGGCGTGGGGCCAGATTTCCACACTGGCAGCCTCTCCCTGCTCCGCGCTCACTTTCCTCAGCGCAGTGAAGAGGGTGGGCGTGGCCTTGAGTCTGTGGAGGGTCACGGCATCTTTTCGGAGTCTGAGGAAAAGCCACCGGGTCCCCCACCCAGTGCACACGTCATCCCAGCAGTTTCAGGGGCCTGTGTCCCCTGAAGTCCATCCTGAGTCCCCGGGTTGGGGATCCTGGGGCTGGGGCACCTCCCAGGGCTTTCAGCTCCAGGCTCGGTGACTTGTTGCCCTCAATTGTGTCAGTGGTGGTTCCTGCCGTTTTGCTAATCAGCACATGAGGTCCCTTTTGTTGACTGACTGAGCCCCTTCGCCTGTCATGAGAGGGCTGTAGAACCACCGCGCTGCCTAGTCTGTTCCAGTTCGTTCCCTGTTCTTAGGCACCTCGCTCTGCTTTTTTAGTGCGTATTCGTATCTGGTGGCATCTAAGCCCAGCGGTTTAGGCCTCGCATGGAGGGCTTTGCAGTCGGGCACATCTGCCTAAATCCTGGCTCAATGGGCTGTTTGCCTCCCCGCTTCCTGGTCCCCCCACCCCTCCCCTCCTCCCTTCCACTTACCTGCTAACATTTATTTAACTCTTGCTCTGTGATTGGTTCCTTGGGGGGGCTCTGAGAGGCCATCCTTCCCCACCTCTCTCCTGGCTTCTGCTGAAGGCTTATGATCCCTGGTGGCCCTTGGCTTGCAGCCACATTTCCTGTCCCTGGCTCCGTCAATGGCATTCTTCTCTCTGTGTTTCCTTCCTCTTCTTCTCAGGACACTGGTTGTTGGGTCAGGGCCCACCCTAATCCAGGATGATCTCATTTCAGGATCCTTAATTACATCTGCAAGTAGGGTCACCTTCACGGATTGGGGGTAGACATACGATGTGGAGGCCACCCTGCAGCCCCCCGAGCCAGGCACCATGCTCAGTGCTCCATGTGGATTATCTCATTGGACCCTCACAGCTTTGCACCATCCCTGCCACTCAGATGCGGACACTGAGGTCAGATGGCTCGTATCCAGTGAAGCAGGGACTCCAGGCCTCACGATGTAGGGCCCGAGCTCATGCCTGCTGTGGGACCCCTTGAGCCAGAGGCCTTGAGTGAATTTCTTCCCTCAGTTTCCTCATCTGTAAAATGGGCATGGTCTTCAGGGGCTATTGTGAGGTTGAATGAGATCCCACATAGAACATGAGGTGGCTCCCCACCCCATTTCTCTTTTCTGTCCCCTCTCTGCCCAACACTCGAGGCCAGAGCAGGCTGGGCCTGGCCGCCCTTCTGTGTTGACCCTCGGTTTTTCTCGCCAGCAGGATGGACTCCGGTGCCCCCCCTGCCTGCCCCTCTGGCCCACAGCCTCCACCACCCCTGCAGCCCCAGGCCCGCTCAAGGCTCAATGCCACTGCCTCAATGGAACAGGACAAGAGTGAGGCGCCCCGAGCTCCTGGACCAGATGTGGGAGACACAGCTGCCCCAGCTGTGGCCCGGGCCCCGAGTGCTCGGAGCCGAGAAAGAGCAGATCAAACAGGTAAGGGGCTGGGGCTGGAAGCTGGCTGTCCTGAATGCACGCCGGGGCTGTTGCGTGGAAGCCAGGCGAGCAGCGAGTCCTGGCACGTGGCCCAGGAGCCCTGCCCAGTTCCTCCTGCGGGCCAGGCCTCTTCGGCTGTCTCCTGCACAGTGGGCTTTGGTCCTGATGCAGGCACTTGGAGGGTAGCAGAGGTCACATTTCCCTATTTTATTTATGACCTGATGGCTTCAGTGCCGATCTGTGCACACTCTGGGCTGGTTCTGGACCAGGCAGTTCTGCACCAGGCGCTGGAGTATGAGAGCAGTGAGAGGAAGACTACCCTCCACCCTAGTCCCGCACAGTGCTCAGGGGAGCCCACGTGGTCCCCTGCCCATCAGGGCCATTTGGTCGGCAGCTCTACTTGGTCCTTGGCCACTCCCCTCAGGATCCGGCTGCCACCGTGGAATGCCCCTAGGCCTGGGTCCCCAATGCGCTGTGGACCATTGTCCTCCATCCCCAGGCTGCCCGCCCCACCCCCACCCCCCGCCACTCTGGGGCCTCCTCAGGTTTCTGCTCCCCCAGGCCTTCCCCGGAGGCACCTCCCAGGGGCAGAGGTGAGCTGGTGTGAGGACCTGAGTGGGACAGGACGGTGGGTCATGGGGCCGGCCACCTCGCTGACCCTGGGGCAGGGGCGCTAGGGCTTTGTCCATCCTCCGTCCACCTCCTGCTCATGAGCACGGCCCTGAGTGGCCACGGGTTTCACAGGTGAGTCAGGTCTGCCCCCGACCCCCAGCAGTCCAGTGTGTTGGGGAGCAGAGGGAAGCATAGGGCCTGGGGAGCACCGAAGTGGCCCTGGACCCAGGGCTGGGGTGGTGGGAAGCCTGCTCTGTGGGAAGAGGAGATGCCGAGCAAGGGTTAGGATGGGAGGAGAGGGCCTGGCAGGGGCGAGGGCTGGCAGGAAGAGGCAGCCTCGCCCAGGGTAGAGGTGGGGCCGTGAGAGCCCCAGGCCTCCCAGGTGACGGGTCGGGAGGGAGGAGGGCTCAGGGTGATAATGGTCGTGGCTCTGGCCTATGATGGAGATACGCCAGGAGGGAGCTGGGGTCAGGACTGGTCCCTGGGCCGGAGCCCCAGCCTTGTCTGAGAGTTTCTTCATGCTCTAGGGGCTGCCGTGGGCGGGAGGAGCCCCAGGCCTCTGGCTCTGATGTTCATGGGAAATGTCACTGGTACCCCGCACTGCTCTTTCTGGTACTTTCCACAGCGCTTTCCAGCACGCTGGGTGTCTTCCTCTCAAGGGAACCAGCCCTACCGTGTAGACCGTTCGCTCCGATTACAGATGGGGTCGTGCCGTCCCACTCGCACCAGGTCCCCACCTCCCCGCACAGCAACACTGGTCCCCGTATTCCGGGCCTGCCTCCATGCTTCCCCACCTCCCTTTGCCAGGCGGGAAGCTCCACCCAAAATGTGCCCTCCCCAGCTCCACCTGCTGAAACCCTACCCGCTCAGAGGGCACCACTGCTTCCTACACTTCCTGGCCTCGACCCACAGCAGGAAATACCGTGCCACCCTCAGCTGACGTGCACCCCCGCACACGCACTCACACGCACTCAGTGGGAACAGAGGCTTCCCAAACACCGCTTCTCCTTACCGCGCGTGCGGAGTCTGATCAGGGCCATTCTGTTCCTTTTATGTAAAAGCAATGCTGCTCGTGGACAGGTGAATGGATTTTGTGATTCTCTGTGTTGAAACCTACAGTTTATAAAACGCTTTCTGCAGTTTGGCTCCAGCGCTGGTTCTCCATGAACATTTCCCAGCTGGGACTCCCTGGAGCACGTGTCTGTCCACACAAGCTGTTACTGATCGTCAGGGCCCTGAGGTGGCCCAGGGAGGGCCAGAGACAGGCCCCTCTTGGCCCATGCCCTTGAGCCCTGTGTCCTTGAGGGCGTCAGGACGCCATACCGGGCCTGTTTCTGCACTGTAAAGTGGGCGTGACCATACCAGCAACGTGGTGTTGCGTGGGGATCGCACCAGGGCCGGGACCGTGCACCTCGGTGGACATCCCTCAGGCCCTGGTGCACGCAGGAGCTGGGGGTGCTGTGCTGAGACGGGGCCCCTTCGTCCCCACAGGCACCTGGTGTGGGGGCCCAGAGATGGTGTGTACCTTGTGCTTCATGTCACCAAGCAGCCTGGTCCCCTGGTTCCTTCCCCGAGATCCTATTCAGACCCCCTGGGGGGTGCCCGCTATTTTACAACCCCCCCCCCACAAACCTCTTTGGTGACTGGCTTCATGTTAGCTCGGGGCTATGCGTGTCTAGCTGCTATGTGTGTGCTCCAGATTTCTTCTCTCCCCCAAGGGAGGCTGGCCGTGTGCATGGTGCGTGGTGTGTGTGTGTGGGGGGGGGTGCTTTCTTTATCCCCTCCCCCACCACGGGCGGGATGCTGGGCCATCTCTCCTCAGTCCCAGGCCGTTGAGAGGAGGCTTCGTTCCCCTAGGTGGTCTGGACGACTTAAGGAAGTCCAGCCCCTGCCGCCACCTGGTCACACCTCACCTCCCCTTTCTCCAGCTCCCCCAGGCTTTGTCATTTTTTCCTTCCTCTAGAGAGACCGCTGCTTAAGATGACCACCCCCAGCTCAGCCGTGCCGCCCACGCAGAAACCCCCAACCCACGATGAGCATCTGCCGCGCACATCTGTGTGTACCACGTGGCCAGCCCTGTCCTCGGGGCTTTCCGTGGGCCACATCTGATCCCCTCATGGGGATTAGCTGTGAGGGCAGCTCTGTTGTTACCCCACTTAGAGATGAGAAAACTGAGGCACAGACTTGCCCAAGCACCCAGCTGCCGAGTGACGGGCCCACAGGTGACCCGAGTCTCCTGGGTTAACACCAGCCCTGCCCAGCGGAGATCGAGCTGTGGTGGAAGCGGGCTAGAGTCTCCCCTGTGCAAGTTCACGCCAGGCCAGTGCCTGATTTATTCCAGAAACTCACCCAGTCCTTAGGCACTTCTGATCTTTGCATCTCCTTGAAAGATCCGCCGTGTTCTCTGCTCTGTTTCCAAGGCCTCTGGGCAGACGAGGGGTCCTGACCCTGGGCTCTGAGCCACAATGCCTCACGGCTGCAGAGCACAAAAACCAGGGCTGGAAGCACACTTGGTTTCAATCTGAGTGCAGACCGTCCTCGGAGGGCAGCAGCAAGACTGCAAGAAGCTTCAGGTGGGAGTCAGGAAACAGCCGTGGGCTCTGTTTGCCATCCGCCCCCCTAAAGAGGGAGAGAAGCAGGCCCTGGCAGTCTTGCAGGCGTGGGGTCCCAGCCCCCACGTCCAGGCCGTGCTGCTCTGCGTCCCTCACAGGTCACCGAGGCGAACGCAGTGGGCCCCACCCTGCCCGCCCTGTGCAGCCCAGAAAGTGGCTGCCGGGGAAGGGCTCTGTGGGCCTGTTTCGGTTAGTTCCCTCACCTGTGTGTCTACAGAGGTGTAATGAGCCCCGGTTAGGTACCCACAGGTCACAACGAGCGTGAGTGTGGAAGTAACGCTTTCCGTGCCGGGCATTAGCCCGCTCACTTCTCCAACATGTTCAGAAAGGAAAACCTAGAGAGAGAGGTGAAGTGGGTACCCCCAGGGCCCCCAGCCGGTGAGCCATGAGGTCGAGATTTGAACACACTCTGGGACTCTCTGCTTATCGGAGGGCCGCAGGTGGGCATCGCGTGTGCCCAGTACTCTGGGCCGCCTCTCCAGGGAGCCCGGCGCAGGACCGAAGCAGAGCCGGCTGGGCTGGAGTCTGGGCTCGTCAGCTGGCCCTCAGGGTGATCTCTGGTGAGGCTCAGGCCTGCCCTCCAGGAGCCCTGGGCCAGGGAGAGCCAGAAGCAAACAGTAACCATCCTGAAGGGCAGGCACTGTGCGGGGGACAGCTGATGTTGTGGGGGCCTGGGGAGCGACAGACACCCTTTCTGCTACCCGCGGTGGGCCCCAGCTGATCACCACGGGACCGCCAGCACCGTGAGGCCTCCCAGCTGCGGGGCCACAGACGGGGGTGGTGGAACCCTTGGGCAGAGGTGTAGCTGCCAGGAACATTCACCCCAGTGCTGATGGAGGACCTGCCCAGCAGGTGCAAGAGACAATGGGTGAGGCAGGTGGGGCCCTGACCTCCAGGAGGGATCCCGGGTGACTACATGAAGAAGGACCTGCACAGTGTGGGGGCGTGCTGGACCCCAAGGGCTCCAAGACTGATGGCCCCCTGGGCAGGGGTCAGAGTGCAGGGTCAGGAGGTCAGCCAGGCAGGCCCTCAAGGGTCATGATAAGAAGGGTGTTTGGGGGAGCATTAGAGGGTCTAAATCAGAGGAATGACATGCTCTGTGTCAAATTAAAGAGGAGGCCACCCCAGCTACTGGGCAGAGCGGTGGCCGAGGGGCAGTGGAGAGGGGGCAAAGGAAGCAAGGCTGGCCCCCAGGTCTCTGGCTGGAGCCATGGGTGGGTGCTGGGGTGCAGAGCTGGTCGGTCGGGACCGATGCCAATGTGAGAGTGTGAGCAGATGCAAAGTGTTGAGGCCCTGCTGTCCTGGGGACTAGTCACAGCGATAAACAGCTGGGGTTTTTGTGCTCTGGTCAAGGTGCTGGCCAATGACAATCTAGGGACTTTTCTACACACGATATTTTGTCCTGACCCCCATACAAGCCCTGCTCCATCTGATGGTCGTGCCCGTGTGATGACCCCCTCGCTATAGGATGCCCTATCGTGAGCCGGCGGGGTGGCAGGGTCGGGTGAGTCCTGGGTGTGGTGGTTTCCTGAGACCTTTGGAAACTTGGCCGTGTGCCTTCATCAGTTACCTTTAACTATCTACTTGCGTTCCAAGCCTCAGGCATCACCTCCTCCAGGAAGCACCGCCCACCCCCCCATCAGGATCGATGACTTCTTCACACCTCCACAGCCCGTACTGATGAAATGTGACAGTCCTCGCCCAGCCCCTGGATGGGCCTTGAAGGCGGGGGTCCTGCCTCATTCGGCTTGGTGCCCTTAGCTCCTGGTGCCCCCGGCTGGCACGCGGCCAGTGCTCAGTACACATCTACTGGGTGTGTGATAAGGAGCTGAATCCACGACCCGTGCCCGAGGCTGTCAGGAGAGTGGACCTCCTGGCCAGGACCCCCTGCCTCAGCTTAGCCAGCCCTGGGCAGAGATGGGGTGGCAAGGATTATTCACCCTGTTTGTTCATGAGAACCAGAGTCAGCATCACAAAGGCTGACGAGACACCCCCCTGGTGCAAGGCGTCCCCAGCTCCATGTGTGTGGGACACCCTGTTGGTGTAGGGCAGCCCAGCCATCCCATGTGTGGGACATTGGTACAAGGTGGCCACAGCAACGAGGAGGACACACGATGTACCCTGGGTTGCTTTTCACCCTGCCCTTCCCTGCAGCCCCCACGGCGGGCGCCCTGAGAGGACCAGGGAGTCTAGGAGGCTGGGGGGCGGTGAGGAAGGAGCTGACAGCAGCCGCCTGAAGACAGGAGTATTGCGTCATTCTCCTCCTGCAGGCTTCAGGTGGCCCTCCCCTTCCCGGAGCTTCTGGCATGCACTCAGCAGATCTAGCTAGCAGCAGTAGGGAGCAAGGGAGCCAGCTTCTGTCCTGCTCCCGCTATGTCTGGGAGAGCTTTGTGCACGGGCTTCCCCGCTCACGGCTCAGGGTCCTAATGCGCTCCAGAGTGGGCGCGGGGCTTGCTCACCAACCTTCTCCCTTTCTGCAGAGCGCCTGCTCCGGCCGCAGGGGCAGGGGCTTGAACTTGCAGCGCAGTCACCGTGTGGAGCGTGTCCTGTGTCCCTGCGCCGGGATATAGGGAGACAGGAATGCCGCAGACCCTGCCCGCCATCCTGCCGCCGGTGGCCCCCATCCTCATCCCTCCATCCTGCACCGCTTATTGAGCTGTGGGGGCCAGTGCTGTGCCGGCAGCTGGGGTGCGTTGGGTCAGACCCACCCACTGGACAGAGTGTCCCCGTGAAGCCTGGGGGAGCTATGAGACACCACGTCCCAGGTTGCGGTGGGAAAACGGCAAAGGACCCCGCTGGGGAGAGGAGACAGCGTCCTGGGGCTGTGCTCCCCTTGCCAGGTCCGAGAAGATGAAGGGTCATGTACCAAGTCAGCAGGGCACATGCACATCTTTCTAATGCACAGGATCTGGGGAGAAAAACAATGAAAAGATGGGGATGGGTGTGGACATGGTCCTCCGTGGGCTCTGGCAGAGGTGTGCAGACCTGCCCAAGGCCACGCAGCTCTGATTACTGCTGCTTTATGACAGGAAGCCTTTCAAAAATGAGTTAGAGTCAGGACCCCTCCAGTTGAAGTGACACAGAGACACGATGCACATTGACATAAGCCAGAAAAAAAAAACGGGTTGAGAGGAATTTCTCAGTTCCGGGTATCTGTAGAGCGTAGGGTGTGCTGGTTTCACATAGGACTGGATCCAGGGGCTCAGATGATGTGATCAGGAACCCCAGCTCCGCTTTCCCTCACCTCAGGTGGGCTCTCCTCACTGGGCGGCCCTCCCGGGCTCCCAGCTGACGTCCATCAGCCGAGACCTAGCGGAAGGAGGAGGCTGGTTTCCCAGCAGTTCAACACAAACCCCACCTGGCTTGGGTCTGTGTCCATCCCTGAAAACCAAATGCTGTGGTCAGGGAGACGGAGCCTCTGCTGCACACCCCCCCACCTTCCCGCAGCCTGGGTGAGGGACAGTGCCACCAGAACTTGACGGCCGAGATGGGGAAGGGTGGGTACCCAAAAGGAACATCAAAGTGCTAGGACCAGAAAAAGCCAGGAATGCAGGTCGGGCATGCAAAGAACAGTGTGCTTCACGGTCCTCGGTCCACACTGACTCAGCCAGCTCTGGGGGGTATTCTCTATGACACTGAACAGTAAGCCCTTGACCTGTGGGAAGACTCCTCACATGAAAAGAGCCAGAGCCCTCTGATTGCAGCATGGGCCCAACATTTGAGTAGTTGTAGAAATATTTCTGTCAGTGCCAAGTGGAAACTGGAATCACGAAGAAGGTGTGGTGTGTGTTTCAAGGAGGTTCTGTCTACTGGGGAGACTTCTTGAAATGCCAGGCTATGAATAACTTCTGTGAAAAATTAATCATGGACAGAATCTTTAGCCAGCAGATACATGCTTGAATCTTCTATATTCTGATTAAAATACAGAAAGAACGTGGGCTTGCGAATTCAGCTAGTCAAGAAAAGTTTTGAACCTGTGGGAGGTTGCCTGGTGGGCACTGCAGTGGGAAGTGCAGTGTCAGTGAGCAGCAAAGGCCCTGGGGTCAGCCGAGAGGTGGGAAGTGGGGAGGGAAAAGAAACCCCCACTTCGGGAATGCCAACTCTGTGCCAGTCACTTAATACAAAGTGTCTTGTCCTTCACCGTCCCGTTGGATGGATATTAACGATTGGGTTGAAAATGACTCTGGGTGGGTCACGCAGCACTTGGATGCTAAAGGCAGAGTCACACGCAGGCCAGGTTTCCCTCCGTGCGCACACTGCTCCCCTGGGAGCCCGTGGAAGGGACTGGCTTGGAACCTAGGGCTTTGTGTTCTCCTGTTCTAGGCCAGAGAGTGCATCCAGGGGCTGGGGGGGTGGGGAGGGGGTGGGTGACAGCGGCCAGAAGGGAGAAGTGGCCTTGGCTCAGGAGGCACCGAGGTCCTGGGCACGAGGGAAGGGTGGGCATGCTGAGGCCACGCTGGGCAGGGGCCCTGAGGACCTCGGTGAGGAAGCCCGGTCTGATCTCAGGGAGAGGTGGCCTGGTATTTTCCAGCCGTCCCCCAAGAGGGCCGCAGTGTGTACCTGAGCTGTGAGGTCTTCAGAAGCCTCCGCGCTCTGAGCTGTCTGCAGTCCCCCGTGCCTCTCCACCTTGGCCCCTGTCGCCTCCTCCCGTGGACTCGGGTGCCTGGAACACGGGCTGGTGGCATTGGTGGCCACAGAGCCAGCTCCGAGCCTGGCAGAGCTGGTGCTGGGAAAGGCCTAGATGAACCCATCAGGAGGGCTGGTCCTTGGGTGGTGCTACGGGGGACCGTTTTTGTTTCCAGAAACTTCTAGAGAGTGAGAGTCTGTCAGTGTCTACTGAGCACCTACAGCGGAGTCCGTAGTGCTGGTGGTCCATCCCGCGGGTTGCCTAGAGGTGTGTTGTCGTACCTGCCAAGGTGGGGTGTGGAGCGGGGTGGAGTCCCCGAGTATTCATTGTATAAATCAGACTGGTAAAAAGTATAAAAAATAACAAAACAAAGCAAAAAACTATTTTTTAAAATTGTTAGTTATGCTGCCTATTGCTGGTAAGGTTGTGAAAGTTGGCTTTCGTAACTCAGGATAACTTTTTAGAAAGGAGACTGTAGCGTGAGCCGTATGATGTTTGGGCCCTTGGGCCTAGTAATGCACCTGAAGAACCTACGCTGGGAGAATGACCCCAAAAGAAAATGTATACGCAGAGTGGTTTGTGGCACCATTTTATAAAATTAGTGAATATTGGGAATAATGTAAAGGCCCAGCACCCTGTGCATGTCTCTCCGTTGGGTTTCTGAACCGTGGAAACGGTGCATTTCACCAGAGTAATGTGGGAAATTGGTTACGAGTCACTGTCATAAACGTGTGTGTATGTGTGTGTGTGCGTGCACCGACTGTGACCTCCAAAAATCATGTGCATATAGACGGCAGTCTTGGAAAACATGGATTTGGTTTGTTTATTGGGGCACAGGGGTGCCGGGATCTTTCTAGAGCCCAGCTCAAGCAGGCCTGAGCTCAGGGGTGAGGGTAGGACTGGGGTCTGTGCCGCCTTGTCCTTCCCGCCGCTCTGAGCTGTTACTGAAGACCACCGTCGGTGGAAGTTTTGCTGTCCGTGTCCAGGGCTGTCTGCATCACTGGAAGGCAGCATTCTGGCATATTCTGTCTGCATCTGACCTGGATTTTAATGAAGCTGCCCTGGGTCCGAGCCCATCGTTGTAGTCCCCTCTACTCCCAAACAGGCGACAAGGACCAGCCTCGCGACATTCTGTCTGCTTTTCTCCTGTGTTAAAGGGCCCATGGAGGGAGACGTGGAGGTGCCCTTTGAAGAAGTCCTGGAGAAGGCCAAGGCGGGGGACCCCAAGGCACAGACGGAGGTGAGGACTGCGTGTCGGGAGGCTCAGCCCGCGGCCCCTGCACAGTGGCCCAGGAGAGGCCGGTGCCGTGTGAACGGGGAGCAGGGCTGCCGGGCTCCCGTTTGTAGTGTTCCCATGTTCTCTGTGTCATTTTGCCCCCCACCGCCCTCTGTGGACCCCGTGTTCTCTCCCATGTCCAGCTCACACCCCATCTTGGGCACCCCCTCCTCCAGGATGCCTTCCCTGCCTCCTGCCGGCCCTCGGTGCCCCGGCCCCCCTCCTGTCATCTGTGGAGGGGGGGGCCACACCCTCCCCGCAGTCTTCTGAGGAGCCAGGGCCCCGAGGGTCCCACAGGCCCCACCGGGGGTAGACGCCCAGGGGATCCCTATCCCCCCCCCCCCCGCCGCGTCTTCCTGGCCCGGGGTGAGCGGGGTGGGGAGGCGGGCTAGCCAGGAGCCCCTGGGGGCAGGAGAGGGTTGGGAAGCCCCAGCCTGCGGGGCTGTGGGGAGCAGGTCGAGGCCAGGACGCGGAGCAGGAGCTCCGGCACAGCAGGCGGGGCGGGGGCTGCCGTGGGGCGGGGCTTGATGGGCCTCTCGCCGCAGGTGGGGAAACGCTACCTGCAGCTCGCCGGCACCGTGGACGAGGAACTGAACAGCTGCACGGCGGTGGGCTGGCTGATCCTTGCCGCGAAGCAGGGCCGGCGCGAGGCCGTCAAGCTGCTTCGCCGGTGCCTGGCGGACAGGAAAGGTGGGTCCGCGGGCTGCTTGGTGCAGGCGTCCCGCCTGAGGGACGCGCGCTGCTGGCTAAATCAGCAGGTGACGCCAGGAAATCTGCAGCAGGTATAAATTCTGTTCCGCCGGCGGGTTGTCATGTAGACGTCTCTGGAGCATGACATGGGATGTGTAGCGAGCAAAGCCGCTGTCCCCCTCTTCAGCGTGTGCTGGTGTCTGTCGGTAGATCCCTGCTGGCTTCTAATCTTGACCGAGGAGTGGATCGTAGAGCCTGCGGGTGGTCAGCTTCACTGGGTGCAGTAGGAGAATGTGACAGTGGCCTGAGGTCAGGATGGAACTTTCTGGGCTGACTTTGCATCCAGTCTGGGCTGAACAGCTGGGGGACCGCAGGCCAGTAAAGAACTGCTCAGGTGCCTTCGCTGCCAGGAAGCGAGCGGGTGGGGGGGGGGGCAGTGAGACTGAGCCCTGCCACGCACGGCCACTTATTCCATTATCCTGCCCCGGGGATGTGGCTCGTCCCTGGGGCCATGAGCGGTGCTTGTGGAAGTTTCAACTTCAGAGAAAAACGGAAGGGTGTGTCATAAAGGGTTTTTTAAATGATTTTCTCCGGATTGTAGAAGTGTCTTATATTTATCATAGAAAACTTGGAATATATAGAGAGCAAAAAGATGCAAATTACCCATAACCTTGAAACCCAGAGAAATGCTCTCTAGTTTGGTGTGTTTTCTTCTGGTTTTGTATCATAATGTTTTTAAGAGTTACATTTATTACATAGAATCTTCCTTTTTTTTTGGAAATTGGACCGATGCCTTTGAAAACAGAACAGAGGGGTTCTGTCAGCCAGGGTTTCTCACCAGCCTGCCCTCCCATTGTGGACCAAGTCAGTGAGGGAGGGGGCCCGGTCAGGACCAGGCCCAAGGGCGTGTACTGCAGGGGGCCACGGGAATCCCTGCGTGCCCCGCACCTCCCACTGTTTCACACCAAGTGCTTCCTGATCGTGAAAGAAACGTGCGCTCAGGTGGAAAATTTGGAAGATGTTTAGAGGGAGAAAAAATCCCGTCCCCCATCTCAAGTCTTACTGCTCTTGGTGGGGGGCCGCCGATGGCCCTGACAGTTGGGGGTAAAGGGAAGAAGGCGGCCGCAGACCAGCCTGTGAAACCTGTGCCCATCTTTCTCCACGGGGAGTCTCTGTCTCCCTGGGAAAGGGCTGGCTGTGCGGGAACCAGATTTCCCAGCCGCCTCAGGAGGGGCAGGGCCTGTGAAGAGCTGTGGACGCAGGGGAGGCCCGCTCTTGCACCCAGGCCGGTCACTGTGGTTACCTGTCTCTGACTCCCATGGTTATCTGCCGGTCTGCCTGCTCCGACTCCCTGGCCTCAGGCAAGCCAGGACACCCCTGTGCCTCGGCTTCCCCATCTGTAAATGAGGGAGCGGTACCTACTCCCGAGGGTGCTTGTGAGGAGGAAATTGGACAGAGAAGTGGGCCAGGAGCACAAGAAGGTCTAGCACATGCCTGCTGGGGGGGTCATCTGGGGAGGTCTGCCAGGAGCATGGAAGGCCTGGCATGTGCTTGTCCTCGGGGTCACTCCAGGGAGGGTCCACTGAAGGACCAGGCTGACCTCCAATCTGGAGAGTGGGTCCCAGCAGGGTCTTTAGCCAGATGTCCTTTTTGGTCGGATGTCTGTTTCTGCCCTGGTGACCAGGGGTGCCTGCAAAGCATCTTGCGTGAGTCCCCTCCCAAGCCCCTGTAGGCAGGGCTGGTCAGGGCTCAGAGCGTCACTAGCGGCCCCCAGGCAGACGGGACAAGGCCGCTAATGCCTCTTGTCTTGTAGGCATCACTTCTGAGAACGAGCAAGAGGTGAAGCAGCTCTCCTCCGAGACGGACCTGGAGCGGGCTGTGCGCAAGGCTGCCCTGGTCATGTACTGGAAACTCAACCCCAAGAAGAAGAAGCAGGTGGCCATGTCAGAGCTGCTCGAGAACGTTGGTCAGGTCAATGAGCACGGTACGTGAGCCTTCCCATGGGGAGCTCATGGGCTTCTCTGTGGGAGTTCTGGGGCTTCCCTATTAGGGAGCCCTGCGGAGACGCTGGGAGCCTAACTGGGGGCTCCCAGGGACCTTGCTGTGGGGACCTCATAGGTGTCCTCTAAGGCCCAGGGAGGGTCCCTCCTGGGGTGTCATCCTGTCCTTGGGGTCCCCTACCTGCCCTGAGCTCTGGTGCAGTCCATGGGCAGAACCACAGATCTTGTCATTCTCAGGGTGTCCTGTTCCTCCTGAGGGGACAGAAGCCAGGGGAGAGTAACAGATGCGGGCAGGGACCTGGGTCCCTGAATCCCCGAGGTTCCAGGGGGCACTGAGCTGACTGTGGCTCGGACAGCCTCCCTGAGGCAGGCCTCATCACCGGCCTCCACAGCCCCTCCCCCAGCCTTCTGAGCAGGCAGCCAGCCAGAAGGACAGATGGGGCAGAAGAACGGGCGGCCCTGACTGGGCGTGGCTGCTCCATTCCCCAGGCCTGACCTGACTTTTCCCTCTCCATTACTGGAGGAGCACCTGCCTCTAGCTGTTCAGATGTGATTTCTGCCCAGGCTGCACCCAGCCCTCTCTGGCCCCCCAGGACTGGGGTCCCCTCCCAACACAGCAGAGCAGTAGAGAAGGCTGCTGGGCAGACACCTTTGCCCCTTCTCCTGGGGTCTCCGGGCAGGACTCCTGTCCAGCTAGACCCTCTGGGGACTAGCCTGCTCTCTGGACAGGGGTTGGGGAGACTATGTGCTGGGGCGAGCAGAGATGTCCATGAGGCCTGGGTCTCAGAGGGGCAGCACCCTGGAGAGCCATGCTTGATGTGACGAGCTTGGGGCCACCCCTGTGGGGCCCCAGAGACCCTGCAGTGCTGCAGCTCAGCCCCCACCTGCTGCCCCCCCTCCCCGACCAAGCCCCTTCCATGGCCCTCGGTCTCTCTGGGTCACAGCGCCTCTCCCCTCATGTTGTCTGTCTCCTGCCTGACCTGACTCCGCAAAGGCATGCCTTGGTGCCTGGCATGCAGAAGACTTGAATGCTCGCCAGATTGAGGGTGCGGCAGGGGGTGGATGTTGACAAAAGGGCAGAATACTTCAGTCCGGGCTCAGCGCTCAGCAGCTGAACAGACTCGTGTGGAGCGCCTTCCAGCCGCAGGGCTGGGGAGACAGCCAGGCCCGGTCCCCAGAGAGCTCAGTCTTTTCCAGAGGAAAATCATGCCAAGGGATGATGCCAGCAGAGGTATTTGGGGATAAGTTACGCTGACCAGAAACTTGTGTGTCTGTTGCCAAGGCTGCATTGGTAGAGGGCATGACTGTGCCCAGCAGGGGCCAAGAGGTGGCCCTCACTCTGCCCATCAAGGGCTGTGGGGAGACCCCAGGCCCTGTGGTCCCCAGAGCTCGGGGACACCCCGGGAGCACATGGGCCGGTTTCTAGAGGGCTGCAGGGCACATGGGAACAGCCTGCTTTGATTGTCTCCTTGCTCTGTCATCTACAGATGGAGGGACACAGCCAGGCCCAGTCCCCAAGTCCCTACAGAAGCAGAGGCGTGTACTGGAGCGCTTGGTTAGCAGCGAATGTGAGTATGGCCTCCTGTCCTGCACCTGTGACCCCTTTGGCTGAGCAGTTACGCCCACCACCCCGGGCACCACGTCCACTCCTTGTTGCAGACTCCAGGCCTGAGGCCCCCAGGGTCTTGGAGGCATGATGGGTCTTCAGTCCAGTCTGTTTGGGGCTGGCGGTGTTCTGGGCAGTGGGCCCTGGAGCCTGCCCAGCAGGAGCACACGGTAGGAGGGAAAAGAGACCCGGTACAGAGGGCAGTAAACACAGTCCGTGCAGGATGGAGCGGGGGTGGTGCGTGAGTGCATCCGCGTGCCTGAGCAGGTCAGCAAGGTGAAGAAGCAGCCCCTGAAGCGCAAGGGGGGAGAACCACACACAAAGGCCCAGTGAGGGGGCGCCCAGCAGGGAGTGTGGGGGCTGCCCCGAGCATGGGCTGTGGGAAGGTGAGGAATGCAGGGTTGGGGGCCACGCAGAAGTGGGTGCCTTTGGGACATCCAGTTAGGAGAGGTCCTCAATCCTCCCATGTGCAGCTGCCCAGCCGTGTGGGCGGACTCTTGGTCTTGGTGGCCAGGGCCCCCGTCCTGTAGGAGACCAGACAGGAGGGACCCAGGGGCTGCTCAGCACTGACAGGAGGCCCGGCTCCTCCCCCAGCTCTGCCACACTCCTTGTGAACTCAGGCAGGCCTGGTTTTCCTCTCTGGGGCTCGGTTTCCCCTTGTGCACAGTCAGATTTAGAGGGCCAAGGGCCCCACCAGTCCTGAGAGCTTCTGTTGGAGCAGGACAGGGGGCATCGTACAGAGGGATGCACACACCCCTTCCCACCGGGCCGATAAGCAGTCCGTCCGTGAGGTGTTGTTGGAACTCTGGTGACGTATCAAATCCCAAGTCTGGCTTTCCCAGGGCCTCAGGCACGGATGCACAGATGTGCTTTCTTGCTGTGTTTGGGGGACGCAAAGCAGTGTAGGACCCTGGCTGATGGACAGCAGAGGACTCAGAGGTTCTAGATGGGTTTTAAGTACAGAGGTGCCAGGAGTCTGTGTTTGGGGTGAGAGGTGCCTCCGGGCAGAAGTCAGTGAGGGGTAATTCCTCCTGAGAGAGCTCGGCTCTGCCTTCTCCACCCTAGTCACCTTATGCTTAACCGCTCAGAACTTTCCTGTGCACCTGGTAACTGCTAGAACGTCCTGGGGTCCTGGGGGAGACCCCGTGCTCTGGGCTCAGAGGGATGGGTCTGAAGCCCACCCGAGGTGAGAGCTGGGCAGAGACATGGCCTCTCCAGGCCTCCGTGGTGGGTGTGGACAGTGCCATCCAGGGGTTCCCCCCTCCGGCCATCAGCCAGCCGGGCCAGCCTCCCCTCAGGTCCAGGCTCCTGGCCCCTCCCCACCAGGACATTCCCAGCAGCCTATGAACATGTGCTTATTCCCCTCACCTCAGAAAAAAAAGGATGAGACGCTTTCTGGACCCCTTGCTCCCATAGCAACCACCCTGTTTCTTTGTTCCCCTTTCTAACAAAGCTGGAGAGGGGCATCTGCAGTCACCATCCTGACTCCCCTCCCCCCTTCTCTCTGGGCCCTCCCCCTCGTCGTCCACCGCAATGGCCCTGTCCAAGTCACTGGTGACCCGTCCTCAGACCCCGCTGTATCCACACTCTGTGCCTCAGGGCGGGTCTCATGGTGTCAGACCGCCCACGACACCAACACATAGCCCGGGCCAGGCCACTGGGCCCTGTCTTCTCCACTGTCTGTCTCGTGTCAGCTCAAGCCTCGCGTGTCCACCTGCCACCAGTGCGGGCCCCACCCCAGGCTGCCCCATCTCACGGTGGCCCTGTGGCCCGGGTGCAGTCCTGGACGTCTTCCGGCCCCCCAGGTTAGCATACAGCCCCTGGTCCACAGCCCGCCCTCTCCCGGGGTGCTCGCCTCGTTCCTGACACTGTTGCCTTTGCTCTTGCTGCTGCTTGTTGCTCTCTTCTGCGGTCGGCTTCTGTCCCAGTGTCCCCAGTGCCCAGGACACAGCCCCCACACGGGCGGCCCCAGAGACACCTGGTGAGTGACGGCCCCACAGCTGGCGGCCCGCACGTGATGTGACCGCTGGGTTAATTCACTCACCGCGCCTCCCTGGCTCCCCTCTCCCTGCCTGGAGGACAGTCTGACGTGGACATGACCGTGGCGAGCAGCCAGCCTCGTCTGGCGGTCAGCCTTGTTGAGCGTGACCCCGCTAGACCAGGAGCCCAGACTTGGGCCCACGCTGGGTTGGTGCACAGATCCAGGTATTCCCAGTGCTGGGTCGGCCCTCGGTGTCTGCGTGCTGAGTGGAGGGGTCAGTAGTTGGCAGGGCTGCAGGGCCACCGTCAGCAAGCCTGTGAGAAGCCGGGGCTGAAGGAGGGGGCAGGAAGGCGCTGGTGGTGAAGGTGGCTACACGGCCCGCTCAGGCAGACCCTGGGCTTGAGAGCTGAGCAGAGGGAAGCTCAGGGCAGGGACAGCATGTCACCAAGGCGAGGAGGCGAGGTGAAGGCCGTCCCGTCTCTCTTCTCCCCGCCGGCCGTCCTTGCCCCCCTGTCCGTCCCGGACAGAGAGGCCTTGGCTCCCGAGCCTGCTCGGCTTCCCTCTTCACTGGGTCCCAGCCACCTTCGCGGCCTGGCCTGTCCGTGTGGGGTGACCCTGTGCCCTTCTCTCTTGTGCCCAGCTAAGAGCTACATAGCACTGGACGACTTCGTGGAGATCACCAAGAAGTATGCCAAGGGCATCATTCCCGCCAACCTGTTCCTGCAGGACGATGATGACGATGAGCTGGCGGGCAAGAGCCCTGAGGACCTGCCCCTGCGCCTGAGGGTGAGCGGGCCCGGAGGGCTCTGACACCAGGGCCCCCACCTGCCATTGCACGCACCTGGTGCTCTCCAGGGAGGGGGAGGGGGGAGGCCCTTGCCAGACACGGGAGCCTTCCGGACCGTGCAGCTTGTCCCTGGAGGCGCATCCTGTAAGGGTGGTCCCCATGCTTATTTATTTATTTATTTATTTATTTTAAGATTTTATTTATTTATTTTGACAGAGAGAGACAGCGAGAGAGGGAACACAAGCAGGAAGAGTGGGAGAGGGAGAAGCAGGTCCCCATGGTTATTCGCTCACCACAGCTCCCCAGGCTCCCCGTCTCTCTGCCTGGAGGACAGGATGTGTTCTCCTCCTGGGGATCTTTCATACGCACTCAGCCTCCAAAGCCAAGGGCGCTACTGGGGGCGGGCCTGCTCGGGAGTGACGGATGAGCCGCCTCGTGTCTTTGTCGGCAAAGCGCTGTGGGCAGCAGTGAGCCATGCACTAGAGTCTGACTTTCACTTAGACTTTGTCAGTTTGAAAAATGATCCATTTACGGCACGGAACGGAGGTCGGTTTCTCAAAGATACCTTCCCGCAAAAGCAGAGTGCTAGTGTTCAGAGACCGTGAGGATCCTGCCGGGGTAGCTGTTTGCCCAGATCTGCGGGGGCGAGTGGGTGAGGTGCGGCTAGCCGCGAGGACGTCCCGGCGGGCTGGCCGGAAGGGAGGCACCCTTGCCCTGCCATTGGCCAGCGAGGAACGAGCGCAGAGCCCACAAACAGGTGCAGAAAGCCAGGAATGGCGGGCCATGGCCCTGGTGTGACAGCTTTCACGCTCTGGGTCACGTGGTTGAGACCTACGGTGCAGGCGGTCAGCGTGGCCATGCCATGCTCTCCCGGGTTCCCCAGGTCGGCTCTCCCACTTGGCAGACACACCAGGATTTCCCCAAGTGCGGCCACCCGACCCAGGCAGGTCCGTCAGCACAAGGGGCTCCGAGCCCACGAATCGTCCTGAGGCCCGTGGCGTTCGTCATCCAAGAGTCCATTGTTCTGAGCTCAGCAGGCGTGTGTGTGAAGCACCATCAGTGAGGCGGGGGGCAGGGGGTGGCGCGGCCCCCAGCGGGCGGGAGTGGCGGGGACAGGAGGTGCGCTGAAGTCCCCTCACTGGAGGCAGCTCCGTGTAGCCCCTCATGGGAGCCTGGATGTGGAGGCTCAGATCGGGCGCCCTCCGGGGGGGGAGATGCGGTGGCCCAGGGCGGCCGGTGTGGTGGCCACACTCGGGACCAGCGGGCTGAGGGAGTCCCCCGAGGAGAGGGGCTGCGTCCGGGATGAGGTTCTGAGCCGCAGCCCAGGAGGGCCAAGGAGCTTGACCAAGGGAGCTCACGGCTGTTACCGCAGGTCCGCTCAGACAGGCCTGGGCTAAGTGTGTTCACAGACGGACACTGTTAGTTTCCCTAGAACATGGGAGGAGGAGTGTGGAGCGCTTGCCGTGGTTCTTGGGCAAGAGGAGGCGCTCCCCAAATGCTAGCGAGGGTCGAAGGTGAAGGGGTGAGTCCGGAGGACTAGGGGCAGGCCGCGCACGCCCCGCCCCAGCATAGCGGCTAACGGTGCCCGCTTTCACGGCAGCCTGGTTGGGACGGTAAATTATGTCCCCCTTCTTATGGGTGACAAGCTCAGTGTTGTCAGAAACGTCTGAGAGTCCTTTTTGGGAAAGAGATTTAAAGTATTCTAACAAGAAGTAAAAGAGGCTCTGTTTTCTTTTCAGTTTTTGAAATGGTCAGAGCACTTTGATGCCTTTACAGTTTGTCTCGTTAAAAGTCTTTTGTAAAAGAGATGATGAATCCTAGCAGGCGTCCCTAAAACCGAAGGCTGTCCCAGCTTTTCGTGGCCTTGTGGAGCCCGGGGAAGGGCCGTGCGCTCCCTCTTCCCACCCCCACGACATGCCAGGCGCCTCCGGCAGCCGGCGTGGCCCCCACAGGCGTGCTCCAGCCTCTGAGCCCCGCGCTGCCCCAGCCTTTCGGGGCAGAGAGTAAATTTAGCAATATTTAAAAATCCACAGTTACACGTTGAGTCATCGGGAAGTCCACTGTGTGCATGCTTTCGCTCGGGTTGAGATGGCCTTGCTGTGACCTGCCTGGTGACAGATGCTGTCCTGTCATAGAACAGACTCCCTGCTCATTTTTTAAAAATTTCTTTCCTGCTCAGAGAACAGCTCATTTTAATTTGTTGGACTTGGTCTACAGAAAAGGTTTTCAGTTTCCCAGCTGGGTGGGGCCCCCAGAGGAAGGTTTGGGTGGAAGCTCCCAGGGGCCAAGTTGGGGCCCTGAAAGGAGGGGACTCCCTGGTCCTAGTGGCCCAGGCACCTCAGTGTGCAGACAGAGGCCGGACACCACTGGACATCATGTTCAAGAAGCTTCGTTGTCTTTTCTTTTTTTTAATTCGATTAACATATAGAGTATTACTGGTTTCAGAGGCAGAGGTCAGTGATTTATCTGTTATATGTAACACCCAGTGCTCATCACTTCACGTGCCCTCCCTAATGCCCGTACCCCAGTTACCCCATCCCCCCACCCCCCTCCCCTCCAGCAACCCTCCGTTTGTTTCCTAGAGCTAAGAGTCTCTTACGGTTTGTCTCCCTCTCTGATTTTGTCTTATTTTTCCCTCCTTTCCCCCATGCTCCTCTGTTTTGTTTCTTAAATTCTACATATGAGTGAGATCCTATGATAATTGTCTTTCTCTGACTGACTTATTTCACTTAGCATGATACCCTCTAGTTCCAGATTGCTTTTTTTTTTTTTGAGAAGCTTCATTGTCTCTTAAAGTTCCTCTCCACCCTGTTGTGTGGCCTCAGGGGCACAAAGAAGAGGTGTGAATGGTTCAGAAGGTGAGGGGAGAACGTCAGATTCATCTTCAGGTTTTCAGGCTCGGGCTGCCTGCACAGAGGAGGGCAGTGAGCTAGGCAGCCCCGGGGGACGCCTGTGGTCTGTCCTGCCGCTGGCGGGGCCGCCTCCGGGGGGGATTAGCTGCTCCGGCCACGGCTGACGCACGCGGGGGCATGCGGGGACTCTGGGCCAGCTGGCCTGGCTCTGTGTCCGAGGGCCCCTTCCAGGGGAGCCTGGAGCGAGTCCGTGTTCACAGCGGCTCAGAAATACCCGCCGAGGCTCACATTCCGGGGCCCGATGTCGCCAGTGCCCATCCCCGGTCACGTGGGAGGGTGGCCCCTGTGAGCTGGGGGGTCGTTTGTTCACTTCCTTGCTTGTTCTAGAACGAGAGTCAGTGGGCTGTCACAGATGTGTAAGAAGGAATGCAGCTCTTCACACACGCCTGTGCACGCACACACGTTCTTTAATATCTCCGACTCCTGTATGAGCCCGGCTCCCTCTCATCTGTGGAAAACACACTATGCAGTTGCTTCCAGATCATCCTGAGTTAACAGCCAAGGTTCTTGGACAGATGACAGCCACACCGGGTATGGTCGCTCGGGTGCGATCCCCCCCAGGATCCCCCTCGTTGGCCAGTCTTCTCCACGCTCCAGCCAGGCAGAAGAGGCAGAGGCCATGCTGCCCACCTCACCCGGGCAGGGGCGGGCGTCTGTCACATCGCCAGGCTTCCCTGCCCCCACACGTGGGTGTTGTTGGGCAGTCAGCGGTCCACGCCTTTGGCCCTCCAGACACACCCGGACCCCTGCCCTCCTCCACGCCACACCACCTGAGGCTGGCACCTCCAGCCTCTCTCTCGTTTCCCTGAGCCCTGGCAGGGCCGGAAGCCTCTGGGAGTTGTGCACAGGTGTAGGGTCTGGCTTGGGTGGCAGAACCACCCCCTGCCTCACCCTGCTCACCTCCCCCACGTCCCTCGTTCGTTCTTTGCTGTGTGAAGTCTGAGGGTCACCCTGCCCTTTGTACTGGGTGCAGATTGCGGGAGCGGCCGCGGGGGTTGTGTGTCTGTTCTGTGTAGGCAGGGTGCTGCTACATGCATGAAGCAGGCAGCTGCTTCTCAGGGTCCGCCGCCACGAGCGAGCACGTCTCCTCTGGCCCCTTACAGATGAATCATCTCCATTTGGTTATGACATGCCAAGCCCCCACGGTTCACGTTTGCACGGAGCCCTTCTTCTGGAGTCCCGGCACCCACTGCCGCTCCTGGGATGTGCAGAACCCGTCATGGGCTTGAAAGTATCGGTTCCTCTGCCCTTAATGGACTGGGGGGGCCGAGGCTCGGGAGGGCAGCCCTTGCCTCAGGGGTGGCCAGGTCACAAGCCCCTCTCCCTCCCCGGCAGCCAGGGCTCCTGTCTCCACCAGCGACGCCCTGTGGCGAGGGAGGAGGGGAGCCAGGTGCTTTCCTCCAGGTGCTTGAGGTCTAGAAAGGGACACTGGCTCACAGGAGTCCGGAAACCCTGGCAGAAGGTTGGGATGGGAGGGGAGCCAAGGGTTGGACTCCAGGGGCCTAGAGGAGAGGAGCCAGGACCTGCAGGACTGGGTGGGATTGAGGGAGGTTCAGTCTAGACCGTAGAGCCTGGGGACGACGTCACGGCACGGACATGGTGTTGACCAGGGGAAGGACCCGCTGGGACCAGGGGCTCTGGGGTGAGCCGTTCACTTGGAGCAGAGCTTGGGTGGTGGGCAGAGTGTTGAGGATGGCAGCGGGGCTCCAGTGCTGGCTTGCTTCCGATGCCCTGTCTTTGTGTCCACCCCCCCCCCCAGGTGGTCAAGTACCCCTTGCATGCCATCATGGAAATCAAAGAGTACCTAATCGACGTGGCCTCCCGGGCGGGCATGCACTGGCTGTCCACCATCGTCCCCACCCACCACATCAACGCCCTCCTCTTCTTCTTCATCATCAGCAACCTGACCATCGACTTCTTCGCCTTCTTCGTCCCCCTGGTCGTCTTCTACCTGTCGTTTGTCTCCATGGTGATCTGCACCCTCAAGGTCTTCCAAGACAACAGGGCCTGGGAGAGCTTCCGCACCCTCACGGGCCTGCTCCTGCGCTTCGAGCCCAACCTGGACGTGGAGCAGGCTGAGGTGAACTTCGGCTGGAACCACCTGGAGCCCTACCTCCACTTCCTGCTGTCCGTCGTCTTTGTCATCTTCTCCTTCCCCATCGCAAGCAAGGACTGCATCCCCTGCTCTGAGCTGGCCGTCGTGTCCATCTTCTTCACCGCCACCAGCTACGCGAGCCTGAGCACCTCCGCTGAGCCCTACACCAGGAGGGCCCTGGTCACTGAGGTGGCCGCCGGCCTGCTCTCCCTGCTGCCCACCCTGCCCTTCGACTGGCACCACCTGAAGCTCCTGGGCCAGACCTTCTTCACCGTGCCCGTGGGCCACCTCGTCGTCCTGAACGTCAGCCTGCCCTGCCTGCTCTACGTCTACCTGCTCTACCTCTTCTTCCGCATGGCGCAGCTGAGGAACTTCAAGGGCACCTACTGCTACCTGGTGCCCTACCTGGTCTGCTTCATGTGGTGCGAGCTGTCTGTGGTCATCCTGCTCGAGTCCACCGGCCTCGGGCTGGTCCGCGCCTCCATGGGCTACTGCCTCTTCCTGTTCGCCCTCCCGATCCTGGTGGCGGGCCTGGCGCTGATGGGCGTGGTGCACTTTGCCCGCTGGTTCCTGACCCTGGAGCTCACCAAGATCGTCGTCACCGTGGTGGTGTGCAGCATCCCCCTGCTGTTCCGCTGCTGGACCAAGGCCAGCTTCTCGGTGGTGGAGATGGTCAAGTCCCTGACGCGCAGCTCCGTCGTCAAGCTCATCCTGGTGTGGCTCACGGCCATCGTGCTCTTCTGCTGGTTCTACGTGTACCGGTCGGAGGGCATGAAGGTCTACAACTCCACGCTGACCTGGCAGCAGTACGGCTTCCTGTGCGGGCCCCGGGCCTGGAAGGAGACCAACATGGCCCGCACGCAGATCCTGTGCAGCCACCTGGAGGGCCACCGGGTCACGTGGACGGGCCGCTTCAAGTACGTGCGGGTGACGGAGATCGACAACAGCGCCGAGTCGGCCATCAACATGCTGCCGTTCTTCATCGGCGACTGGATGCGCTGCCTGTACGGCGAGGCCTACCCGGCCTGCAGCCCCGGCAACGCCTCCACGGCCGAGGAGGAGCTCTGCCGCCTCAAGCGCCTGGCCAAGCACCCCTGCCACATCAGGAAGTTCGACCGCTACAAGTTCGAGATCACGGTGGGCATGCCGTACAGCGGCGCCAACGGCTCCCGCAGCCCCGAGGACGACGACGTCACCAAGGACATCGTGCTGCGGGCCAGCGGCGAGTTCAAGGACGTGCTGCTCAGCCTGCGCCAGGGCAGCCTCATCGAGTTCAGCACCGTCCTCGAGGGCCGCCTGGGCAGCAAGTGGCCCGTCTTCGAGCTCAAGGCCATCAGCTGCCTCAACTGCATGGCCCGGCTGTCACCGGCCCAGCGGCACGTGAAGATCGAGCACGACTGGCGCAGCACCGTCCACGGCGCCGTCAAGTTCGCCTTCGACTTCTTCTTCTTCCCGTTCCTGTCGGCGGTGTGAGGCTGCGTGCGCCGTCAGGACCCGCCCCCGTGTGGCCCGCCGGCCAGCCGGCACAGCGCCGACGCCGCGTGCGTGCGT